ATAGCAGATGGTAAGCTATTCCACAACGTAGCCGAAACCCTCCCAAAGCATCTGTTTCCGTAGGTCACAGTACGAGATTTTGGGACACACAACAAAGATTCTGACTCCTACCGCAGTGATCGTGACGGCTGATACAGGGTAACAAGCTCCTGTATGTACTGAGGAGCTGTTCCATTCAGTGCCTTGTATGTGTACACCAGAAATTTGTACTGCAACCTGTATTGTACAGGTAACCAGTGCAACGAATAGAGCACAGGTGTGTTGTGCTCTCTCTTTCGAGTACGAGTAACTAGCCGTGCTGCAGTGTTCTGAACCCTCTGCAGACGACTAGTTAGTTTGTCAGATATACCACAGAGCAGGGCGTTACCATAATCCAACCGAGAGGTAACAAGTGAATGCACCAAAATCTTGCATGCATCTGCAGTTAAAAACTGCCGAATACAGCCGATGTTCCTGATCTGGTAGTAACAGGATTTGGCAATAACGTTCACTTGTTTCTCCATGTTCAGTGAACTATCGAAGTATACCACTAGGTTTTTAACAGCTGGAACAGTCTCAATAGTTCTGGCACCGACCTTGAGATGGAGAGCCATTCTTTGCTGACACTTTGGGGAAAAGACGATTAGTTCCGTCTTTTCCTAATTAAGCTTAAGCATGTTGGCGTTCATCCAGATACTGATACTTGGTATGTTGGACATATATGTCTGGAATGATATTTGGTTATGATGATACTTGAGAGACATATATGGCTGGAATGATATCTGGTTATAATGATACTTGGGAGACATATATGGCTGGAATGATATCTGGTTATAATGATACTTGGGGGACATATGTCTGGAATGATATCTGGTTATAATGATACTTGGGAGACATATATGGCTGGAATGATATCTGGTTATAATGATACTTGGGAGACATATGTCTGGAATGATATCTGGTTATAATGATACTTGGGAGACATATGTCTGGAATGATATCTGGTTATAATGATACTTGGGAGACATATGTCTGGAATGATATCTGGTTATAATGATACTTGGGAGACATATGTCTGGAATGATATCTGGTTATAATGATACTTGGGAGACATATGTCTGGAATGATATCTGGTTATAATGATACTTGGGAGACATATGTCTGGAATGATATCTGGTTATAATGATACTTGGGAGACATATGTCTGGAATGATATCTGGTTATAATGATACTTGGGAGACATATGTCTGGAATGATATCTGGTTATAATGATACTTGGGAGACATATGTCTGGAATGATATTTGGTTATAATGATACTTGGGAGACATATATGTCTGGAATGATATCTGGTTATAATGATACTTGGGAGACATATGTCTGGAATGATATCTGGTTATAATGATACTTGGGAGACATATGTCTGGAATGATATCTGGTTATAATGATACTTGGGAGACATATGTCTGGAATGATATTTGGTTAAAATGATACTTGGGAGACATATATGTCTGGAATGATATTTGGTTATAATGATACTTGGAAGACATATGTCTGGAATGATATTTGGTTATAATGATACTTGGGAGACATATATGTCTGGAATGATATTTGGTTATGATGATACTTGGTATGTTGGACATATATGTCTGGAATGATATTGGTTACAAGAGGCCCAGAGGGCCTGTATCGCTCACCTGGATATCTAAGCAATCATGGCAAAATATTCTCCAAATGAGATCCAAGGGAATATGCCAGACCCCAAGGCCAATCCTTGTAGCACATCTGTATTAAATTTTTCATGCCCAGCAATTTTATGTATGGTTTCGGGGTAGGGATCTTAACCATTTTGAAGTTATGACCCAGGGGTTAAGTCTCCAAGGGTGGGGCAGACCCCAAAGCCATCCTGGAAGCATATGTGCATTCATTTCTTTATACTCAGCAATTGGATATAAGGTCTTTGGGTGGGGATCTAAACTGTTTCCAAGCTGTGACTAAGAAACTAGGTCCCTAGGGGTTCGGTCAGACCCCAGGGTCTATTCTAATATCATGACTGCATTCGTCTCTTTATGCCCAGCATTTGTATATATAGTTTTGGGGAGGGGATCTCAACTGTTTCAAAGTTATGACCCATGGACTATGCCTCCAGGGTGGGGCAGACCCAAGGGCCATCCTGGAAGCAACTGTGCATTCTTCTCTTTATACTCAGCAATTGTATATATGGTTATATGGTGGGGATCTCAACTGTTTCCAAGCTGTGACTAAGAAACTAGGTCCCTAGGGGTT